CGGCGCACCTGCTCACTGCCCTGGTGATCTCCACCATGCTTCTCAAAGCCTGTGTCCTCATCCCCAAGATAGAGAGACTACCCGTCTCCTTGTGGATATGAAGTGAAATGACGAACGAGGATTCTTCAAAAAGGTCTGGACAAAGGGGATTAAATGATGTCTATTTTGGTGCCAGAAATTCTGAAATTTATGCATAGTGTTTTTTAAAACGCACATTTTCCCTGAACTTTTTGAAGACCCCTCGTGTGCAAAATAACTGGGAAGAGAAAGCACTCAAGACAGACTCACTTTCCCAACCCTTCCCTCTTGATCTATGAGAACAAGGTGATAGGTGACTTTGGTGAGAAATAAAGTAGAAGTTGGTGACCTGGCTCCTCTCAGCCACGTGGTTTACTCACTGACAGTGCTGTCACCATCTTACCTGTGTTCCAAAACTGTGCAGATGCCGTAAGTGCTACAGGATAATCACAGAATTTTGAAGGGCAAACAATGGGGAACTTGCTACAAAGACACCTAGAGCTGGTCCCACCCTCCACCACCTGTCCTTTACTCTCTCATGTCAGTGTCTCATAGGATCTTGGTGGCCATCGTGCACCACTGTTTGCGGAGTTCCTACATATGCATTGTCTGATTTCATTCTCAGTCATAATGACTCTGTGGGCTGCTGGATGACACGCTGTTATCTCCATTTTCAGGTGAGGCAATTGAAACTGCATGAGGTCAAATGAGTAGCCCCGATTCACACTGCTTATCAGTGGATGGGACGGACCGGAACATAGCTCATAGCTCTACATCCGAGAGACTTTTTCCCACTCCAGGGTGCCAAGCAGAAGACAATGATTGTGTCCCACTGCTGAGTATTTCACTTACATTTATTTTTACTTTATTTTAAACTTGCAAGTTTATAAACTACTTCTTTAAAGAAGTATTTTAAACTCAATCCTATTGTATTAATTTATTTTATTATTTATTTGTGGTAACAAAAAAGATTACCAGAAATCTATATGTGTATATGTGTGAATAAGGGATATTCCAAAAATTTTGTGGAAAAAAATAGAATCCAATGGGCACCAATTTGAGACCTAGCTGCTCTACTTCCTGTCCAGCTCTCTGCTATAGCCTGGGAAAGCAGTAGAAGATGGCCCAAGTCCTTGGGCCCCTGCACCCAGGTGGGAGACCTGGAAGAAGCTCCTGGCTCCTGGCTTCAGATTGGCACAGCACTGGCTGTTGTGGCCAATTGGGGAGTGAACCATTGGATGGAAGACCTCTCTCTCTCTCTCTCTCTCTCTCTCTCCCTCCCTCTCCCTCTCCCTCTCCCTCTCCCTCTCTGTGTAATTCTAACTTTCAAGTAAAATAAATCTTTAAAAAAATAGAATCAAAAGATAAATTTATCTTGGTGCAAAACAATAATTGAAGACCCATTGTATATATCCTTATCTTTTAAAAGTCCTGTCCAAGAGCTAAGATAAGAAGAAATACATTAAATTTAAAATCCTAAATGAATTTGTCCAGTTTGGGAGGGCGAGTAGTGATAGAATTTAATTTCTGTACTTCTTGGGAATTGTATTACTTCTCAGAGGAGGCATAATTTTCCAGTAGAGATAAATCACCCTTTTCAAGAACAGCAGAAATGGGAAGGGGAATCACAAACCCAGGTGGTTTGAAAACAGTACAGCTCTAAGCACACTGGCTCATTTTAAATGGCTGGGAGAAGGTCTCTGATGAATAAACAAAACTAAAAGCAGGGCTGTCTATTAGAATAGTCTTCAAAGGGATCTGTGACTTTAAGACAGGAAGAAGGGCCGGCGCCGTGGCTCAACAGGCTAATCCTTTGCCTTGTGGCGCCAGCACACTGGGTTCTAGTCCCGGTCGGGGCGCCAGATTCTGTCCCGGTTGCCCCTCTTCCAGGCCAGCTCTCTGCTGTGGCCAGGGAGTGCAGTGGAGGATGGCCCAAGTGCTTGGGCCCTGCACCCCATGGGAGACCAGGAGAAGCACCTGGCTCCTGCCATCGGATCAGCGCGGTGCGCCAGCCGCGGTGGCCATTGGAGGGTGAACCAACGGCAAAAGGAAGACCTTTCTCTCTCTCTCTCACTGTCCACTCTGCCTGTCCAAAAAAAAAAAAAAAAAAAAAAAAAAAGAAAGAAGAGTTTTAAAATGCGGCATCAGTCACACAATTCTCCCACTACAACTGAGCTATTGGGAAGAATGTGTTCTTTCTGTTTCCTTCAGAACTGTCCCAGCCTCTGCAGAAGCGCCTTCCTTCGGGCCAGCAGGAACATTCAGACTGGCTAGGAAAAGACAGTGCATCTCTGCTGGCTAAGCAGTCTCCCCTCCAGTTGACACTGAGTCTCTGCACTTGGGTGTCACTCTGAGGGAGTTAGAAGTCTCTAGGGCTCCATCAGTCCCTTGGGGCAACTCGTCTTTGAGAACCGGCCGTGTCTGTACACTATGGCAGGGCACTCTGTCCTCATGGTACAGCAGGACAGACCGACTTCATGGACTGAGATGCTGAGCAGACCAGGTTCTGTGCCGCTTGTCCGGAAACCCTGACATGCTGCCCCTACTATGGGAGCCCATAGCCCCGACTAACTTGCCTGGCATGCTGCGGCCTCTCTGGCCAGCCCCAGGGCTTTGCTGCTCCAATTGTGCTCCCACAAACTCCTCGTCCTCCTGCAGGGGCATGAGAGCTTCTGGTTGTGAGCAGCCAGGACCGTGGCCTTGGACCCTTCCATTTACTGTTTGCCTTACCACCACACCACGTCCCTGGGCCACGTGAAATGTGTCCCCCAGCTAAATCCCACGGTCCCCTTGAGTTCTGAAGAAGCTGTCATCTGTCCTCTCCTCCCAGCATCCTTTGACATGCTCAGGAAAGCCTGGATGTGTCTAAGGCATCCCACTCTCTCTGGAGTTTTCTTCCCCACACTGTTGGCTCTTTCTAGTCCTGTCTTCCTTTACTCCCACCTTGCTTCAGAAGCGGCAGGGGTATTTGCCTTGCCTTAAGAAAAAACCTGAAATCTGTAGAACAGAATCATTCAAGCTTGAACCCGACCTGTTTTGCGTGTTAGAGGAATCCGGACTGGCTTTCAAGATGACCGTTTTGACCCTCACCGTTCCTTTGAATGTGAAAGGCTTCATGGTATTTCTTTTGAATTCATGCTACAATAATCCTAACCCTTCTGGGACGTAGATGCCTGTGATAGAACTTTGAGAGAGTTCAGTACTTTAGCGTTTTTTTAATTACCAAAGTTATTGTATTAAATAAGAAATATAAAAATACTTTTTTTGTTATAAATATTCAACAACACAAAAATATATAGTGGAAAGGAAAACCTTGTTTTGCCTTTCGCTCCATCCTACCCTCCCATCCTCCTCGCTGGATTATACCTCCCCCTAACAGTTCAGGCTGTATCCCTCTGGAGCATTTTCTGTACACACATATATGAGACATGTCTAGTTTTGCTTTTGCACTCATGGAAAGTGACTTGATGGCACATAGTTTAATTTTATTTAACAATTTCCTTTGTAAATCATTCCATGTCAGAGTGCATAAGTCAACCTTATGTTTAAAATCTGGGCGGTGGTCCACAGTTTGGATGGATCATTATTTATTCAATGAGTTTACAACTTTTTGCTCTTATAAACAATGTCAAAGAGAGCATCCTTGTCTTTAGCTCCTTCTTCAAATGTTGCTGACGTCTTTGCTTCACAAGAACCTAAAAGGAGAGTGATGACATTCTGTATCTGTCTGTGAACATCAGGAAACGTGAAAACTAACCCTGTCCCAAGCCGGTATCCAGAAGCTAAATGTCTGCTTTAATGTGGTTATTATTCTTTATTTTTCCCCACTCAGCCAGTTCCACTGAAATGGCAGAGCTTTCAACTTATATTTTCTCTATCAAAAAGTTCCACAATATTGGTAGAGTAAGCCCAATATGCTTATCAATGCATATAGGGTGGGCCTATTTTTAGCATCATTATTTCAGAAACTAGAATTAAAGTGCACAGGGCTTCCTCCTAAAGACTGCAGGGGGGCAGAGTGTTACTGCAGGGGGCAGCAGTGGAGTCTTGGCACCACATCTCTCCGTGGTTCTCTCAACCACATGTCGAGGTCACTGTCATCATGACAAGGATGAAAAACGCCCCCATTCTCTGGATACAGCCTCAGTGGAGAGCTGGCTTGCTACTCAGGATGTAGTGCAGCTCAGATGGCCAGTTGGCTTGTCCCAGAGTTTGGTGATTCACCAGCCATGGTGACTCCATGCTCTTCTGTCAGCTTCCCTAGCCTCTACTGCCACCAGCTAAGTCCTATTCTCTCGTACTTTAACCACTGTCCTTGGTCACAGGATAAATGGTCCCCTTTGAGTAGTGTGCCCATCCCTGTTCCATTCAGCTGTGGCCAGGGCCACCAGGCCACATGAAATAAGGCTTGGAACTTAAGGAATTTCAAAGAAGAGGCTATGACGGACATTCGGAAGGGGACAGCGTGGCTGGCGGGCGCTCTGTAAGCCTGACAGGTGCATCTGCAAAGGGCACCCTGATAAAATTTGTCAGGAAATCTCTTGGTATTTCCAGCCTGCAAGAACAACAGAAGGAGCTACTTAGGTACCATCTGGTTATAATGTGTTTCACAGAGAAATAAATAGCCCAAACTGAAGCACACTTCCGGTTGTCAATTTTCCCCAAACCTCCTGGAACTCCGTGACAGTTCCTGCAGATTGATATGGTCGGGTGACAGTGAGTTGATTGTTCCAGCAGAGGTCCTTAATGAGATTGTGCACTCTCTTCAGGGACCCCTTCTCCAGCAGATTACAATGACAATGGCAGGAGCTTGTGAATACTGAGAGCAAAGCAGCCTTCCTGCTCACTTCTTTTTGCAAGCACCCGCCCCTAACAGCAAGGCCTTCTTGTTAATTAGTTGTTAATTATTGGGACAGCTTGTGAAATGTTTTTAAAGAGCTGGCCTAGTGGTGAAGAAAAGAACCCAGAGCAAGAGTCTGAATTGAAGTGGAATAAAAGGAACGAATAAGCTTTTACACAGTTGGCTGGCACCAAGGAAATTCTAGCAACAGGATGAGGGGTGCTGTAGAAATGCACAGCAGACAAATAAAGAAGGAGAAATGTCATGGATGAGAGAACCTCAGTGGTCATCTTCCCTTATCTTGCAGGTTGAGAAACACGCAATAAAACGTGGCTGAACTGCCCAAGGTCACACTTCCAGTTGACATCCCAAGACTCAGTGCAGTCCAGAGAACTCATCCCCAGGCCCTGTAGAAGGTGAGTGTTGGGGCGCTGGACTGGGACCTCCAATTCAGAACACGTGTCTAATCTAGTGTTTATTTCTTCATCTGCAAATGATGCTATAACGTATATAGTCAAAGAAGCACACTGGCAGATCTAGAATCATCCTTCATATAACTTTTAACCTGTGTTTCATTGCTGTATAACCAGGCCACATCACTTTGGAAATGTTATAAATTAGCACTTTTCAAGTACGTCCTTTACTGTGTGAACAATTGTATTGTGCCATTTACTTATTTGCTTTTATATTATGAATAGTTAATATGTTACATGAGAATATTTAAAATACACCATCATTTCTGTGAAAAATCTTTAGCATGTCTTATTTTGACATTTAAAATTATTTTAATTGTTTTAATATTCTAAAATTTGCAAAAATGGATGTGGCCCAGTGTTCTCCATACCTCTCAGAGCTCCTGTTTACTGAGGTACCCTTACTTGTTTATAAAACATGAGTTTCATACATGATTTAAGTTTTCACAGGATCAGGTTGTGGTTTCCTTAAAACGGGGTTTTGGATGGAACCCAGAATGTTATTTGTCTCCTGGGAGGTAGAAGTGCCCTGGACACTCTTCTCGATAAATTCTTAGGAAAGAGCAGTTAATATTCTCTGTATAGCTTGAACATCTATTGTCTGAAATTCTTGGGAACAGAAGTGTTTCAGATCATGGAGTTTTTCAGATATTGAAATATCTGCATCGACTTTACAGGCTGAGCAACCGTAATCTGAAAATCTGAAATTTGAAATGCTCTAAAACCCAGTGCCGATTTCAGAGCATTTTGGACTTCGCTCAACATATGCCGGCCCTGCCGATCTGCTGGATCAGCTCTGTAGTATGAACTCAAGTCTCTTCCTGTGAATGGCCAGTCTTGCACTTAATATTGCAGGTAAAAGGAAAAATCAGAGTTGGGATAAAATAAGGATGCTGTTAAACTCATTGCTACCTTCCCTGGAAGAGTTGCTGTAAAATGTTGTCTTTCATTCCTGCCTCTGTTTCTAGAAGCTGTTTTGAAAGTGTTACTCGATTATCCCCCTTTAAAAATGTTCTTAATATAAAGAGAACATATTTCATGTATTTCATATGTACAATTTTAAGAAGGCAACCAAGTTTTCTTCTTTCCCTCTCTCCTTCCCTCAATTCTCCTCCTTCCTTCCTTTTTTTCAAATTTTTGCAAAAACATAATTTCAATCCACTCTATAACCATAAGCTTAATGTACCACTAACCATAATATTCAACAATAAGTAGAAAGACCACACTTCCAAAGGAGTAGAAACAAAAGCTAAAAATAACAATCAAATGAAAAGATGTCTGTTTCATTCCTAACTTTTTTTGTATTCTATATTAACTTTCATATACCAGAGAAAACATGATATTTGTCTTTTTAGGACTGATTTATTTCACTAAGCATGATGTTTTTCAGTTGCATCCATTTTGTTGCAGAAGATAGGCTTTCATTCTTTTTAATGGCTGAGTAGTATAGTGTATATATACTATATTTTCTTTATTCAGTTATCAGTTGATGGGTACCTGGGTTGATTCCATATCAAAGCTATTGTGAATTGAGCTACGATAAACATGGTGGTACAGCCGGCACCACGGCTCACTAGGCTAATCCTCCGCCTAGCGGCGCCGGCACACCAGTTTCTAGTCCCGGTCAGGGCGCTGGATTCTGTCTCGGTTGCCCCTCTTCCAGGCCACCCCTCTGCTGTGGCCAGGGAGTACAGTGGAGGATGGCCCAGGTGCTTGGGCCCTGCACCCCATGGGAGACCAGGAAAAGCACCTGGCTCCTGGCTCCTGCCATCGGATCAGCGCGGTGCGCCAGCCGCAGCGCACCGGCTGCGGCGGCCATTGGAGGGTGAACCAACGGCAGTGGAAGACCTTTCTCTCTGTCTCTCTCTTTCTCACTGTCCACTCTGCCTGTCAAAAAAATAAAAAAATAAAAAAAAAAAACCCATGGTGGTACAGATAACTCTTTCACATGCTGATTTCATTTCATTTGGGTAAATTCCCAGAAGTGGGATGGCAGGGTCATATGGCAAATCTCTTTTCTGAGGAATCTTCATACTGTCTTCCATAATGGTTGTACTGGATTATTCCCACCAACAGTGTATTAGGATACCCTTTTCCCCACATCCTTGACAGCATTTATTATTTTTTGATGTTTGGATGGATGATACACATTCTAATTAGGGTGAGGTGAAACCTCACTGTGGGTTTTTTTTAATTTTTAATTTTTTTTTTATTTTTTGACAGGCAGAGTGGACAGTGAGAGAGAGAGAGACAGAGAGAAAGGTCTTCCTTTGCCTTTGGTTCACCCTCCAATGGCCGCCGCGGCCAGTGCACTGCGGCGCACTGCGCTGATCTGATGGCAGGAGCCAGGTACTTATCCTGGTCTCCCATGGGGTGCAGGGCCCAAGCACTTGGGCCATCCTCCACTGCACTCCCTGGCCACAGCAGAGAGCTGGTCTGGAAGGGGGGCAACCGGGACAGAATCCGGCGCCCCGACTGGGACTAGAACCTGGTGTGCCGGCGCCATAAGGCAGAGGATTAGCCTAGTGAGCTGAGGCGCCGGCCCTCACTGTGGTTTTTATTTGCATTTCTCTGATGGCTAGTGATCCAGAGCATTTTCTCATGTGTCTGTCAGCCATTTGTATTTCATCCTTTGAAAAATGCCTATTTATATTCTTTGCCCATTTATTTTTTTAAACTTTTATTTAATAAATATAAATTTCCAAAGTACAGCTTTTGGATTACAGTGGCTTCCCCCCCCATAACTTCCCTCCCATCCACAACCCTCCCACTCCCTCTCCCATTCCATTCACATCAAGATTCATTTTCAATTATCTTTATATACAGAAGATCAATTTAGTATATATTAAGTAAAGATTTCAACAGTTTGCACCCACACAGAAACACAAAGTGTAAAGCACTGTTTGAGTACTAGTTATAGCATTAATTCACATTGTACACCACATTAAGGACAGAGATCCTACATGGGGAGTAAATACACGGTAACTCCTGTTGTTGACTTAACAAATTAACACTCTTGTTTATGGCATCAATAATCACCCTAGGCTCTTGTCATGAGTTGCCAAGGCTATGGAAGCTTTTTGAGTTCGCCAACTCCAATCTTATTTAGACAAGGTCATAGTCAAAGTGGAAGTTCTCTCCTCCCTTCAGAGAAAGGTACCTCCTTCTTTGATGGCCTGTTCTTTCCACTGGTATCTCACTCGCAGCGATCTTTCATTTAGGTCTTTTTAACTATTGTTAAAATTGTTTGTTATTGAGTTTCTTGAGCTCCTTATAGATCCTGGATATTAATCCTTTATCAGTTGCTTAGTTTGCAAATATTTTATTCCATTCTGTCAGTTGCCTCTTCACTTTGTTGAGTATTTCATTTGCAGTGCAGAAGCTTCTTAGCATGATGTAATCCCATTTGTCTATTTTTCCTTTTATTGCCTGTGCTTCTGGGGTCTTTTCTAATAAGTCTTTACCTATGCCAATGTCTTGAAAAGTTTTCCTGATGTTTTTCTCTAGTCATTTAGTCATTTGGTGGTATCAGGTCATAGATTTAGATCCTGGATCCATTGTGAGTTGATTTTTTTATAAAGTGTAAGGTAGGGATCTTGTTTCATGTTTCTGCATGTGTAGACCAATTTTCCCAACACAATTTGTTTAATAGACTGTCCTTTCTCTAGGATTGATTTTAGCTCACTTGTCAAAGATTAGTTGTTTGTAACTGCATGGATTAATTTCTGAGGTTTCTATTCTGTTCCATTGGCCTACACATGTCTATTTTTGTGCCAGTACTAGGATGTTTTCATCATAACATAACTGCCCTGTAGTATGTCTTGAAATCTGGCATTGTTATGCATCTGGTTTTGTTTTTGTTGTTTAGGATTGCTTTAAAACTATTTGGGATCTCTTGTGTTTCCATATAAATTTTGGTATTATTTTTCTCTAGATATGAGAAAAATGTCTTTGGTATTTTTATTGGGATTGTATTGAATCTGCTAATTGCTTTGGGTGGTATGGATTATGTTATTATGTTAAGGATTAGCTAATCAAATCCAACAACACATCAGAAAGATCATTTATGCAGACTAAGTGAGATTTA